TCTTGTCAAATACTTAACATTTTTTTCAGGATGACAATATTAAAAATCTAGTCTCTTAATAATATTGAAATGTGCAGTTTTCAATTATTAGCACATTAAGGATGCTCTACTATTAATATGAAAAAAAAATTTATTCTCCCATCTGAGGCTTTGTATACTTTGATTACCATTACCTCCTTTCCCCTCTGCAGATTCCAGTAACCACCATTCTACCCTCTGCTTCTGAGTTCCAAATGCAGTATTTGTCTTCCTATGCTCGGCTTATGTCACTTAGCATGTTCTCCAATTCCATCTCATTCCATCTATGTTATCTCACATGACAGAATTTCTTCCTATTTGAAAGCCAAATGCTATCCCATTGCAAAAATAAAAAAATAGAGACATACATGGCTGGATACTTTCCAATCAGTCCTCATATGCCACATTTTCTCTATCCATTTATCCCTTGATAGACACTTCAGATGACGCCATAATTTGGCTGTTGTGAATAGTGTTGCAATGAACATAAGAGTGCAGATATTTCTTCAACATGATGATTTCAAAACTTATGGGTGAATAAACTGGAGTAGGATCACACAGCTAGATCACACAGCAATTCTATTTTTAGTTTTCTGAGAAAGCTCCAAATAATTTTCCATAATGATTATACCAATTACATTACTACCAACAATGTACAAAGGTTGCCCTTTCTCTACATTCTCACCAGCAGTTGTTATCTTTTATTTATTTATTTTTTAGAGACAGAGTCTCACTTTATCACCCTTGGTAGAGTGCCATGGCATCATAGCTCACAGAAACCTCCAGCTCTTGGGCTTAGGTGATTCTCTTGCCTCAGCCTCCCGAATAGCTAAGTCTATAGACACCCACCACAATGCCCAGCTACTTTTTGTTGCAGTTTGGCCTGGGCCGGGTTTGAACCCACCACCCTTGGTATGTGGGGCTAGCACTCTACTCACTGAGCCACAGGCGCCATCCTAGCAACTGTTATCTTTTATCGTTTTGATATTAGCCATTCTAACTGGGGTGAGGTGAAATCTCAATATACTTCTAATTTATATTTTTCTTTTCTCATAGACATAATAAAAACAATCCTAAAATTTATATGGAACCACAAAATCTCCTGACTAGCCAAGGAAATCATGAATGAAAAAATTGTTTTCCAACTATACCATACAGCAATTATAACTAAAACATCATGGTACTGCCAAAAAATAGACACATCAACCAGTGGAACAGAATAGAGAGCCCAAAGCCCAGGAAAGAACCAGTGCATGTACAGCCAATTGATCTCTGACAAAAGTAACAAGAATATACAATGGAAAAGAATAGACTCTGAATAAGTGGTGGTGGGAAAACTGGATATTCACAGGTAATGAAATCGGATGTCTATCTCACACACTATACAAAAATCAACTAACTTACAATCAATCAAAGGGTTAAGTATAAGACCAGAAACTGTTTTCTTCTAGAAGAAAACATAGAGAAAGAAGTACATGCCATTGGTCTTTCAAATGACTTGTTAGATTTGACTCCAAAAGTCCAACACCAAAACCAAAAATAGATAAATGAGATTGCAACAATATAAAAATCTGTATATCAAAGGAAATAATTAACAGAGTAACAATTAAAATCCCTAAGGATTAAGAGAAAATATTTGCAAACCATGCATGTGATAAAGGATTAAATTTAAAATATGTAAGTAACTGAACACCAGGCAGTAGTACTCAGCTACCCAGAGAGAGTCTCTAGACACACTCTAGTGCCAGAAGTCCATGTTCCAAGTGGAATAAACTTGAGTTATCTGCTAAAGATGACCATATGCCTTCCCTAGGATCTATCAACTCATATTTATAAAACATAAATTCTTACAAGCATACACCAAATATACACATACGCTTAATACTATTCATAGCAATGTCATTCCCAAAACCAAAGGCTAGAAACAGCCCAAATGTCCCACCAACAATAGGATGGATGCCTGTAGTATAAGCATTCAAAGGAACATTATACAGCAATAAAAATAATTGAACTTCAATTATATTAAAAGCTACAGATAAATATTCACAGATAGTGGTATAATTATGAGTTGAAAGTTCCGAACACAGAACATATGATGCATGATTTCATTTGTCTATACTTCAAGCACAGAGAAATCAGTGATATTAGAAGTAAAGAAGTAATAAGAAGAGTCACAGTGAGGCTTCTGGGATGCTAGGTAATGTTCTATTTCTTCCTCCCAGGTGCTGGTTAAAGGGTTCTCTGCACTTTTAACAATTCAGTTCTATATTTTAGGCACAATGTTTTAATGAGAAAAATAAACCAGATCATTTTATTCTTTGCACAAATACTTCCACTGACTCTTACAGTGGAAGCCAGTCTTACCATGGCCTAACAGACTAAATGATCATCTTCCATCCCCAAGGAGCTCCTGCCATCATATCCTGCTACTTTTCCTGTCACTTACATGGCTACACCCACACTGGTCTGCTTGCTGTTTCTCCAACATGTTATGCTTTCTTTGGCCTCTGGTTCCTAAGACTGTTTATTTTGCCTGGAATGCAGTACCCACAGATAGCCATAAAGTTTGTTCTCTCACCTTAAAACATTACTTCATTGTCACATACTGTGTGAGACTTTCCTATGACTCTACTTCAGATCATTATCCCCCTATTCTAACATACTTTCCTCACACTATGCTTAATTTTTGTCCATATTATTTTTTAATGTATTATGTAATTATCCTCCTTTTTACTTATTTCATCTTCCAGTACAGGAAAGGCAAGAGTTTTGGAGTTGTTTTCTACAATATCCTATCCTTGGGATCTGAAATAGTGTTTAGCACATAGCAGGCATTTAATTAATATTTATGGAATGGCTAAATGCCAATTACATTTCTTGAAATGAAAATACTTTGCGCTTTACATGATATTCAATTCAAGTATTTCTAACAACTCTTTAGTCACAGATAGTTCATGGTGAAAGAATTATTTCTTTTTCTTAAAAATAGATGTAGGGAGCTTTAAGGAAAAGCTTTCTATGGTAGCTATTATGAAAATGCCATTTGTTACTGAATTATTCCCCAAGAATTTTAACAATAATGGGCATAAGGGAAGAAAGAAATGATAGAATCTACTTCTACATGTTCACTATTCCTTGGGGGAATAGTATTAACTGGTCTTTGATTGTAAATGAAAATTCAGAAATGATATCCTCCTTTGAACAAACATTAAACACTATCAAATTATCAAGAGAGAGCTCCAGATCCCAGAAGTCTGTGATGCAAGTAAATATATAATCCCTTCTGAGCTTGAATTTGACTATAAATACATGCTTTCAATGGGAAAAAAATATTTTAGGGTTCACTCTTTGTAACCCATAAGAGATTACAGACAGGACTCTATAATTTTTGGAAGTTTCTCACATGACTTTTGATCTATGGAATAATATTTTATCTCCTGTCTTTGACCTTCTCAGCATTCATCCAAGGAGTGAGTGGGAAGTGTGTAACACATGAGCAACATGTGCTAAATTGTTTTGCAAAAATAATTTAATAGAAAATATTTTCTTCTTGTCTTTGAGAAAACTAAAACTATACTTCAGAATGAGATGTTGGCAAAGAATATAGCTGAAAAATATAAATGTTCTTCTTCTTTCCTTGAGTTCTGGAGGATAGTTTTCACTTAGTTTTCTTATCTTCATAGTTTTCTATCTTAGTTTTCTTCTCTTTCTTCTATAAAGATGACTAAGTGATATTTGAAAAGAGGCTTATGATTTTAAGTAAAGATGTATATTACCTGATGAATTGCTGGAGAAGTGTGTAGTTTGATGATTTTTGTAACTTGGTAAGTAGAAGAAACCAGGTCTCTTCTTCATAAAGATATTTTCTCTCTCAAGCCCAGCTGCTGATTCTCACTACCATTAGATTAATAAGCCTTCTTCATATCATGTGAATGATTTAAGTAACAAAAATGTTCTTCTTATGTAAGTTTTTCTTGTTTTGTTGTTGTTACTTGGACCAGAAGTAACTGGAGAGAGAGGAGTAAAAAATTTCATGTTTCAGATTCGTCTAAATGGGAAAGATCTCACTGGGCCATCACTGTCAGATGGAAAAGATACCAAAGTCTATCTAAAGGGCAGAAAAGAGATCATGTGGGGGGTGAGTGGAAGCAGCTAATAAAGAAATACAGGAACCCTCATAAAAATATAAATCCTATCTGCCTTTCAGTTCTTCTACAGCCAACTTGACTATGACTAACAGGTGCAGGCACACTGAACTTGGTCATAGTCACTCAGACCAGGTGTTTGCCATAAGGTTAGTTTCTGTAATGAGTATATCTAGCTCATACATTCACTCGGAAGTACATCAAATACTTAGCTAGAACAATTTAGAGCTCAAAATGTGGTCCTCATCCCCATAATGCACAAGGCATACAGCTACCTAAAAAGGAAAAGATGCACTGTTTACATTAAACACTGATACACACACATATATATATGAAATAGAATAAAAGGCCATATTTGCTCAAATGACAGAGGTCGTTTGTATTTTTCAGTAATGCGTACTAGACAAAAGTGAAATAAACATTAATTTGTGTTCTGGCATGGCACTACACAGACTTTTTTTTAATACTTTGATTTAGCAGTTAATTTACATATCACTCTTATAAATCATAAAGAATCAGGAATACTTAGTACCGTTAAAAGAAGATTGCAAACAGAAAAAATATATAAACAAACCAGGTGAACAGAAGAAAAAGGAGAGTAATTGAATTCGGTAATTTATCAGAAAGCCACAAGTTCTAATATTCCTAGCAAGATAAAAACTTGCCCCCAATTCACATTTTCTCTGGTTTACATTATTGTGGCTCATTAAAATAATATCATCTGATCAGGAGTTCAGTAGGGAAATACACATTTTTGTTGTTTAAACAAAAGTCTAATGGTTCAACACTTTATAAAATACATGATCATGAATTTTGGTGTTTTCAGGAAGAAACAGCATGCTCCATTTCATTCTATGTTTCAGTGACCTCTACCACCTCGTGTCGTCCAGACAAATGAATGTGTCCAGCAGAGAAACTACCAACTCTGTCAGCCACTTTATCCTCATGGGCTTTCCCTCAAGCCCCAAAATGCAGCTCCTCTACTTCGGGCTTTTCTCAGTAGCCTATACTCTCACCCTGATGGGCAACGCAGCCATTGCCTGTGCTGTGCGTTGGGACAGGCGCCTTCACACACCCATGTACATCCTTTTGGGAAATTTTTCTCTCCTGGAAATATGTTATGTCACCACCACTGTCCCTAAGATGTTGGCCAACTTCCTCTCCACAAGCAAGTCCATCTCCTTTGTGAGTTGTTTTGCACAGTTCTACTTCTTCTTCTCCTTTGGGTATGATGAGGGATTCTACCTTTCCATCATGGCCTTTGACAGGTGCCTTGCCATCTGCCGCCCTCTGCATTATCCACGCATCATGACCAGACAGCTGTGCACTGGCCTCGTCATCTTCGGATGGTCATGTGGGTTCATCATCTTCCTCACTCCAGTTGTTCTCATTTCAAAGTTGCCCTACTGTGGCCCAAATGTCATCAACCATTTCCTGTGTGATCCTGTTCCACTGATGATGCTGTCCTGTTCTGAAGACATCACCACCCAGCTCATTTATTCCACTTTCAATCATATCTTCATTATTGGCACTTTTCTCTTTATCCTTTGTTCCTATGCTCTAGTGATTCTGGCCGTGGTGCGAATGACCTCAGAGGCTAGCAAACGAAAGGCTTTCTCCACCTGTGCTTCTCATCTGGCAGTTGTCACCCTGTTTTATGGACCTAGTATAATGATGTATGTTAGTCCTGGATCAGGACACCCAGTGAAAATGCAAAAAATCATTACCTTGTTTTATTCTGTGGTAACACCTGTGTGCAATCCCCTAATATACAGCCTCAGGAACAAGGAGATGAAGGATGCTCTGGTGAAAATCTTCAAGACCAGAAAAGGTGTTCATTAAAAATGAGTGAAAGACAAATTTCATCTCTCAACTTGCCTGAATAAGAAATGAGTGATACATTTGACTACAAATTCATTAAGTTTTATTAAGAAGCTAATAGAATGAGGGCTCGTTATCATCTTGAATTCCACTCACCACACGACGCAATACTATAGGTCTTATTTAAGATGAATGTTTCAACAGTGAATTAGATTTTACGTCAAAGGTAATATTAAGTAAGTAAAATGTGAGGTCTAAGCCAGTTGGACGCTCAAAACGTAATTCATTGTTTGAAAAAGAAGATAGAAGTCTGCTTTGTATTATTGAGTTGAAACAACTAACACACGTGTAACAGAGACCATAGACTGCTCTGGTGATTAACACTATACTATAATTCTCCAGTAGGAAATAGTGACCGGAACAGAAGAGTCAAGTTTTAAGAATTCCACCTTGCCAGACTGCAGCAGATAGTCTTTATGGTGTGGAAATAGCCTTCATTGGATAATAAATAATTTCTCAGAGAGCGCACAAGACAAGAATTAGGAATTTAAAGTGCATTCATTACACAAAGTCTCATACAGATAAAATCTAGCTATTAGAAAGACATGAACATTACTAAGAGCATACTCGCGTTGTGATAACTTTAGCTTGAACACAGTTCCTGGTACCATAATTGGATTAGGGTTAGTACTGTGTGACTTATTTTAGCACTACCATAGCATGGTTGAAATTACCTCTATAAATATTTGATTAGGATAGTTGCTTTAATTACTGTTTTTATTTTGTTCTGTGGCCCTATTTTTCAAGCAAGCATCACTCTCAAAACAAAATGAAAACAAATCACATCATAAAATGTAATTTACACAATTTTAATTTGTAGCCTTCAAAGTTATTAACTGCACAAAGTGAGGAGCACCTGCAATTAGGTTTCATGCCATCAACAACCTGGGTTAGAACACTTTTTACAGTACCTATATTTGTAAACACCTTCATTATTAAGCAAACTTTTCCCATGTACCTTAAATTCTATCTCACATTAAGCTTGCTGTCATGTAATAGAAAGAATTGAAAGTTATTTAATACATTAAAAACCATTTCCCTGAGACACAGTTGGGCCTCCATTGTTCTAAAATCTCTTTTGTAGTTCATAACTAAGTAAGTAGGTTTCATACAACCAGGTGGCAAAAGAGAGAAGCTCTTTAAAGTATGACAATAGTGCTTTAATAGGGATTGCATTAAATCTGATCATGTGTATAATTTTTGATGTGTTATTGAATTCTGTTTGCTAAGATCTTATTGAATGTTTTTGCATCAATATTCATTAATGATATTGGTCTATAATTTTCTTTCTTTGTTGGATCCTTTTCAATTTGGGGGATCAGGATAATATTTGCTTCATAGAATGTGTTGGGAAGTATTCCTTCTTTTCTCTGTACTTTGGAAAAGGTTGTATAATATATGTACTAGTTCCTCTTTGAAGGTGTGATAGAATTCAAATGTGAAGCCATCTGGTCCCAGACTTTTTTTTTTTTTTTTGAGAGATTTTGTATAGTTGATGCTATTTCAGTGATTGATATAGGTCTATTCAAAATTTCTCATTCTTTCTGGTTGAGTTTAGGAAGGTGGCATGCTTCCAGGTATTGGTCCATTTCCTTCAGATTTTCATATTTCTGGGAATAGAGTTTTCATAGTAATCATTGAGGATTTTTTTAATTTCTGAAGTGTCTGTTGTTATTTCTTCTTTATCATTTCTGATAGATGGCATTAGAGATTTTACTTCTCTTTCTGGTTAGGTTGGTCAAAGGTTTATCAATTTTATTAATCTTTAAAAAAGATTAATTGTTTCATTGATTTTCTGAATGATTCAATTTCATTTAATTCTACCCTATGTTAGACATATTTAATCAATGACCAAAAAGGGGCCTTCTTCCACAATAGCTAAAATTGCCATAATGTGGACTTAAGGAATGGAAGTAAGTTTGACTTCTATCTCCATACTTTTCAGTGATCCACTTGCCAGAAATTTGTTTATTACTGTCTCTACAAATTTCTGCTATCCCCATGATCTTCAAAATGACTTTATGTAGGATTGTTAATAAATAGCTGTCACAGATATTCATCATCTCCCTATTCCACAAACTATTCCAGATATCTCTCATCTTCAATTACTCAGATAATGATGTACAATACCTCAGGTGCAATAATAAAGCAAGAACCTGAGGCTCCTAGATGCTGGGATCTGAGACAGGCACTTATCCAGGATCATCCTGCTTGTGGCAGTGGTCTTCCTGGGCCTACTCAAATGTGTTCTGGCTGAGGCCCAAAAATGTTCCACTGAAATTGTATTGTTCAAGATTTTACATCAATCTGATGAGAAAAATGTTGACCTCCATGACAACAGATGTCCGTGAGCACATGAAATGGACTAAATTTGATAAGGCAGATATCCAAGTCAAGATATGAACTTTGAGACAGGATACCAAGGGCTTTGGCCAACGCAATTTCCCCCACCCTTTCTCACATATAGGTACCAGAATAACTGAAGAATGTGTGGGAATACTACATCCTGAGATAAGGAATAAATGACCATACCAACAAGTTTGCAATGAATCCTAGTCTTCTTCTGTCCTTTTCTGCCTATCACTGAGTAATAAAGTTGTTACATATGCCCCAGCTGAGTGTGGTATCTCACTGAACACATACAAGTAGCACAGTGACCAGTGAGTCTACTTCATACACAGTCAGTAGATTCATTCAATTTGCACGAATGTAAGATTTTCCTATACTAAATATCAAGAAATAAAATTTCTGGGTCAAAAGGCATGTTCATGTTCAAATTTACTAGATATTGTCCACTTGTTATACAATGCAGTTGAACTAATTCACACCACACCCTAGAGCCTGAATCCAATTTCTCAGTATCCACAACTAGACTCATCCTATCTGGCAAAATAGGAAACATTGCAAATGTAATTGGGGAACTTTTTTACTTTCATTTATTCATTTGCTCAGTATGTATATGCTGAGAGTCTACTGTGTGTTGTGTCCACATAAAAGATAGATGGTTACCTAACTGGATGTCATAGGCTCTTGTGGAGCTTACAGTCAAATCCTTAATATAGTTTCCAGGTCAAAGATTGTCAAATTACACCTTCAGTACATGTTATAAAGGTACATAAAGCTCTCACACCATTCAGTAGGGGTAGAGTGGAGAACTCTATCCTAGTTGTCTTAGTGAGGGAGGATTCCTGAGAAAGCAATGCTTGAGTTGAGCATCCATAAAATAGCATTACCTAGGTAAAGGGAGAGCAGGCTGGAAGTGCATATTTAGCAAAAGGAATAGAATGTGACATAATTTCTTGTTCACTTTTGAAGAATCAGTTCTGGCCAAAGAAAGAAGAGATTAGAGAAGGACATAGATGAATGTGAAACCAATGATGAGGCAAAAAAAAAAAAAAAAAAAAAAAGCCATGAGGAAAGTCTAGAGATCTGATGGATATAGAGAGAAATGCACATTCATAAAAAATATCTGAGATGTGGAAGAGTCAGTATACATTTAAAGATTGAAACAGATGTTGAAGTTTAGAAAAATTGCACAGATGCTCCTAGGGACTTGTCATACCTCTTCACCCCAATATTTCAGGGCATGCCAGCCTGACTTCCAACTGTCAAACTCTGAGGGCTTTCTCTGACCACAGAAGCCTGCTTTTGTTGACCCTGGTGCAAGTTGGTCATGCTGAGGAGCTAATGTCCCTTACTTAGCCCTTAAGTAATGACTATCAGGAACTGGTATACAAATGTCCTGGACCTCTCAGGTCCAGAAAGTTTCTGAGGTGATTCTTCTACACTGGCTCCCAATGCTTTTCCTAGTTTAATCCCCAGTCAGCCATTCTGGTAACTGGCTTCAAAATTCACTCTTTATTGGCTGCCTTCCCTCCCTAGCCCACTTCCCCAGCCTCCCACCACCAGTTGTCTTACCCACCATATAAACTACATGCTGTGATGAATTTTAGATTTTGTATCTGCTCCTGGAATAACCTTGTAGCCTGATGAAAGGGAATTCCATTCTCTTAGTAACATAAGAGGAGAATCCACTTAGGGGATACTCATTTTATTCATTTTAGAATTACATTTGATGTGTCTCTGAAATATTCTGGCACAAATGTCATCTAGCAGTTAGATATAAGCATCATGCACTAGTTCTCATCTGAAACTCTGAGGCTATAATTTTCATATTGATGTAATTGTGGGAAAATAAGTAGAGAGCACTGAAGAATTAAATGACCTAGGAGATAATATAGCATTAAAAGATATAAAAGCCTGGAACCCAGCCATGAAGAATGTCAATGTTTAATGGCCAAATAAAGGAAAACGAACCCACAAATTAGATAGAGGGAATTATAGCTAGAAAGGTAGGGATTTTCTGAGAAACCAGCTTCCTCATTGAAGCCAAAGGAAAAAAATGTTGCAAGAAGTGAACAACAATGCTAGATTCTGCTGAGAAGAAAGAGATACAGATTGAAACCAAAAATAGTCCATGAGACTTAGGGACATGAATGTCATTGGTGATTTATGCAATGGCCATTGCAGTGACATGGTAGAAGAAGCCATATTTAAATATATTGGAGATGAAGGGAACATGGGCAAGAGATGAGACTTACTTGCTGTTTCTTAAACACGCCAGGCACTCTCCTGCTTCATGGCACCTACATGTGCTATCTCCTCTACCTAAAATCCCCTTACCCCATATATGTGTATTTCTTAGCTTCAATTTTACCCAAATACTGCCTTATCACTGAGGCCTTCCCTGATTATGCCATTGAAAATCATGGCTCAGGAGAATGATGAGATAATGACCAAAGGGTGCTAAGTTTCAGTTAGGATGAGTAAGTTTTGAAGATCTATTGTGCAACATGGGGATTATAGTTTAAAACAATGTAGTGCACAGTTTTTCCTTCATGTCTGTGGGAATTGGTACCAGGACCTCCCTGAGAATACCAAACTCTGGGGATGCTCAAGTT